TCAGGTATGCCTGACAAATGTTTCATTTTAAGCAAAAAGGAAGAAAAAGGAAGCTTTTTATAAAAAGCTTAAAATGTAATTAAGTAAGTCTGAAAGAAGTAAGTTCTTTTGATTAGGAAAATGGCTTGATTGAAGATAAAAAAGTTCAAAAGGAACTTTCCCACTCTTTTGTGTATCATACACAACTGTAGAAGGTCTGATTTAGTCAATAAAATGAGTTTTGGCTGATAGACAAGATAAGTACCTACATGTGTCCACATGTAGTCAGCAAAAATGCCCATGTGTGAAAAAATAATGCCCAAAGAGTTTGCAAATCACCATTAAACAATGAAAGTGCCCAATGTTCAGTAAATGTAGTATACCAAAATGACCACAGATGAGGTCAAAAAAACTTTCTGTCTTATTGGATATATTGTTGTACACAATGAAAATGCCCATGGAAAAAACTAGTCTTTCTGTAAACTGTAAATGCTTTCTTTTTGTATATAGTTTTAGGACAATTGTGGACAATTTAAATTCACATTTCAATTCATAACATAACTTTTAACTTTCATAACATGAATTAAATAACTTTATATCACTTTTTATCAAATAACAATGTATATTGCACAATATAAAATGTTGAATAATGTGATGATAGTGATAAAATGACAAATAATGATGGTGAATATAATGATATAATAATAATTAGTATTAAACAAAATTAATTCTCATTGATTTTTTTAAATTCATTCATTTATCCAAATTCATTTTTTTCAATACAGGGAAGCACCAGAGTCATAAACTACAGTATATAAAAGTCAAATATTCCTAAACTGCAAGCTATATATTTAATAGCTGATACCAATTATTTATGTACTCTTCATAAAGACGAACAACTCCTAGTAAATACAAAAAGAAACACTTCCTGGACAGAATGGTCAATTTTATAGTTTCACAGCTAAACAGCTGAGTGACGTCAAACGGAAAACAGCCACAAAATAATTCATGTACTCACCAACACCACACACATACAGTCCTGTTTAGCAGCTCACCACTTTGTTAAATCTCTTTTCCAGTTGTCTAGGATGGTGTGCACATCTGGAAATCCAATCAAAACTCGAAGTTTCTCCACTGAATGTTTCCTAACTCTCAGATTCTGTTGACATCCAAGTGAAACTAAGTCTCTGTGTAGTAAATATAAGAAAATCAAAATTCTATTCTTTATCTATTCATATATGTTTATCAAGCTGGATATAAAACGTTTGAACAACTTCACAACGAGTTTTGTTCAGAGGTATGAAGACATCAAAAGCACATGGTGCCAGAAGACAACTTTCAAATACCAAAAAAATAACGTATTTTTCCCAAGTACTAATAAAAAAGCGAAGCAAAATCATCTAAAATCTCTTATATGCAATATAATACAGCATTTAAACCAATTCAAGCAGAACTTACCATAAAAAAGGCTAGAATTTGCAAGAAATCATCGATCATGAAATCCGCCATTTTGATTTTACCGCGTACAGCCGCAAGGAATGATGGGATAAAAAATAAAAGAATATTATAATGGACTGTAGTGGACTGCTGGACTTCTACGGACAATAGGTCTATCAACAAAAATCAATTCTCGCAGTGTTTTACAACGTTTTAAATTCATTTGAGTACATACATTCCTTTATCATGACGGAAAATGCTCTACTGTGGAGCTAGTGTTTAGGGTTTTACACAGTAAAAAAATCAAAAAATCAGTTTTTTTGTTACGCTGGTTTTAGTCTAGTTTGCATCACATGGGGACATTTCGTGCATGTAGTCCACAGATACCAAAGTTGAAAAAGGAGTGTAAAAACGAGAATATGAGCTGTCCTTTCACGACACTAGAGGCGGACCTAGAGTTTGACAAGGACAGCTCGCCATCCCCCATTTTACGCGTTTTTAAAAATAGGGATATGAATTATGATATACGAATACAAAAGAAGAAAACAAAATTATGAATGGGGGACTCATTCTCAAAAAAAAAAAAAAAACAACAACAAAAGCAGCGTTTATCTGAAAGATATTTTATTTTCTGCAGCCCTAAATCCTTAATATTTTCTCTTTGGTAAGCCACTCTGGATCCGCCACTGCGATATTTTAAAAAGTGAACAATGGCTCCCTTTTATCATCGATGTTTATTCATCTCATTTGAAGTTAGCGTTAACTATGCAAGTAAAATCTAGAAACCAAACCTACCATATGCGTGTTGGACAAATACGTTTGTAGTAAGTATTTTTTTGCAAAGAAGCTCTTGATGACAAATTGACAACGAATCAAAACAAAACAAAAAAACAACAACACGAACATAAAACAAACAACATTCTGAAAAAAGTCAGCACTAGTATTTTTGATGACTTATATGTTTATTTCGGTTTATTCATTATTTTCACAATAGTATTAGATTTTTGACTATATTAATTCAACGGCACAACATTATTTACATCTCACTATTAAAGATTCTATTAAATCAGTCACCTTTTTTTTCATTTCTTGCATTCCTCCCATTCTAATTTCTATCTATATATGCAGTTCACCATACTTTCCATTTCCATTTAATTATCATTAATTATATTCAGTTTTCTCTGGTTTATCTTTCCAAGGACGTAAGGTATTGCTTATATCATCATAATCGTTCCACTTTCCGAAAAAATATTACGCAAGCACGCACGTATTGATCACACGTAATAGTGTGCGTAAATTACGGAAAAGCAGATTGCTGCAGTCTGTTCATAGCAAAAACAGTAAACACGGCTCCTTTTAGTTTTCTCTTCGCGTTAAACACGTTCAACTGGTCCAGCGTGTTCTTCCTGTGACATGTTGAAATATTATCGTCAGTTATCCAAGTTTCTTGTAATGCTTGCTCGGCAGTGATCCGTTCTCGTGGCTCTGTTATAAGCTAAATGAAATACAGATCACGAAATGATTAATCTTCATTCGAGAAAAGTTCGATCACATAATATGTATATAGATATTGGGTGACTCAACTAAGCCAATTTAGAAGATTGTGATGGAAGTAGCACCAATCGAAACATTGTGGATGAAGTTTTAAGTTCATCGAACATTTCTAAATCAAAACGTTGTGGATTTGATGATGGGTGTACATGGGGAAATACTTCTTGATTGAGAACCTTGAAAACCAAAAGCGATGCCTGTATGACGTTTTCCTGTTTGATTTGCGGCGATTTTTGAAACTTTGAAAGTTAAGTTGGATAACTAAATAGTTGTAGATGTTCAGTGGGTGATTCACTGAGAGCAAGAGAAGGAAGCGCGGTGAATCTGAAAATCAAACTGTGCTTTCTTCACCACCCTTTTCTCAGTTTGCGCTTGCTTTATGCGAAACGACACTCAACGACACTCATGTTAATCAACATAATAATTCTAATAGATAATGAAAAGAAACTGAGGAAACATTATTTCTTAAATATCTTACCATTTTATTCAGCAATTCTTTTGCTTGTGAAGATATACTTTGCGACTTGCTGACTGGGAACGTAACGTTAGCATTTATGATTTCTTCAAAGAGGTGGGTGCGTTGCGTGCTCCAGAAAGGTGGATAGCCGACCTGAAACGTAAAACATAAGCCATTGGCGGATCCAGCTGTTGGGCACGGAGGATAGGCAACCCTTCCTGTAACTCTTTTAAGGCCTATTTCCAATCGGTATTATATTATCATATACCATTACAAGGGCGGATCCAGGATTTTCCTCCGGGAGGGGTGCGGTGCTCTCAGGAGTGGGTGCACCCCACAAAAATCATTACCATGAAAATACAAAACAAGGAAAGTATTGAAGGATATCAGATCTCAGTGGGGGGGGGGGATGCGCAACCCCTGCACCCACCAGCTGGATGGCCCCTGCATTATATCAGACTTTAAAATATCAGTTAAATTGCCGGGACAGACGCGCATATAGAACTTACCAAGAGAATATAGAGAATCACTCCACAGGCCCAGATATCAACAGGGGTCCCTATGGATTTGTTGGTAACTATCTCTGGTGAAAGGTAAAGAGGAGAACCTTCCACTTCACACGTTATGGTGTCCCTATCGKCTGCAAGACATGGCAAAGTYGCCTCTAAATAAACACTCACTACCCAGGCGCGTAGCGTCCTTTACGCATATACGCACGTGCGTACTAGTGGCAAGGAAATATTACAATTTTCGGTATTTGATGCCTTTTATATGCTCTCAATGCCCTAAAAACGCAGGAAATCACATTTCAAAGAGTTATAATTTTAAAATTTCCTGAGGGAGTACCCCCATACCCCCCCTTAATACTTGTGTCGCGATCCCTCTCATGTGCGCACTAGCCAAAATGTCCACGCTACGCGCCTGCTACCTAATTTGGTGGGAGGATGGTCTTCAGTTTAATACTCACCATAGACCTTTTTTGAAATACAAAAGCTTGGTGCATTGTGGTCTAGGTTCAATTCAAACAACGCCATATTTAGCTGTATGTACATTAGATGTTTGCACCGAATTTAGACCATAACGCAATGCGCAATGCTATATTTCARGAAAAGACCTATGCGTTTAACTGTCTCTCCAATAATCGATATCTTTTTCAGAAACAAACTGGAAAGACCGAAAGTGGTTTGCTTTCCAAACCTTTTATACTTACCTGGTAATCTCCTCGCATTACCAAAACTAGTCAATTTTATGGGTGGGTATGGCTGGTCTGGTATTGATTTCCAGGATAGCAGAAGCTTTTCTGGGCGGATATTCTGCAATAAGAAAGTGTATATCAGTGTATCTTATTGGATGCACTGAAAAAAATCGCGCGCTTTAAAGGTTTTAAATTTGATGTAAATATGATGTAAGTGTCCAAAAATCTGTAAATTTAATGGAAATCATTTACATCAAATTTACAGAATTATGGACACTTACATCATATTTACATCAAATTTACAACCTTTAATGCGCGCGTTTTTTCCGGTGATGATGGATGTGCGCACCAAAGGTTGACTTCAAAGATGTAGATCATGCACTTTCAGGTGGATTGTGGATGATCTATAAATTCCGTGATATGGAAAAAATGAATGCGACGGAAATTCCATAATCAGCAGGGTTGTATCCAGGAATTTCATTAGAGGGGTCCTTATAGCAAATTGTCTCTCAGATGCAAAATGCATTAAAGATGCAAATTTTACGGTTGTGAAAGCGTATCATAAAGTCCTTGTAGGGTGTTCCATGACACATTATCGCCACAGGGTCCACACTACCCGTCCCTCTGCTCAGACCAATAGGAACGAGGGTTCTGGAGCGAGATTTGACAATATTACTGGTTGATATAATAGTCAAATATGTTGCAATATATTTTTTCACCATTGAATATCAGACGGCGCGTACATTATGCGCCTCATAGGGAACAAGACCAAACCAGGAGCCCATTACTTCCTGACCAAACCAATGACAGATGTTGAGGGTGGATAGTGAAAAAACTCGGATGACGATAATTTCCGAAATTGCATGACAAGTTATGTAACGCAATACTCACCCTGTGAACAATACRGTTATCGTGCAAGTACGTCACAGCATCCAGAATCTGTTTCATTATCTCTCGTCCAGTCTTTTCAGAGTACGAGGGGCGGTTGACAATGTCACTGAGCAAATCTCCTCCTGACGCAAGCTCYATTACAAGATAAAACGACTGCTGGCCATGATACATGTGTTGCAGGCGAATGATGTTATGATGGTCCAGGCCTTTCAAAATCTGATAAAATCGAAAAGCAAGTGCTTTAGGAGAGAGGATGCATTATTATTGGCCTCTAAGCCTCATAGCGAAGCAATGGTAATCGGCTGAAATTATTCGGTCTTGAGAGATCACGGATTTGCCTAAAGCACTATATGTGAAGGCGCAAAGTAGCGGTTGCTTAGGAGTACATCCAGAAATAATAATCTTTCTTTCTTGAGGTTCAAAATTATTCCTGGGTTCCTAGGAATGGTACACATTGCATTGTTGCTAAAGCAAAACCTCCGTTTGTCAGCTATATCTTTACCGTTGCTCATTTTCAGAACGTGGAACCCCCATTTTTCCGAGTTAATATCAAATTGTTGCGATTGTTCAAGACAAACGGAAAAAGAAGTTTATATTAACTTGTTCACACAGTTGAACAGCTTCGTCTAGTTTAATCACTAACTTCTGCTGAGGTTGCTGATCTACTCTTCCCTCAAGCTGTACAAACTTTATACAAACATGTACTTCCGTTCACACCATATTATCACCGTTTATAAACAACACTAAGTGATCATGATATATTTTTCTTCGTAGTTGAGCTCCACTAACCTCCGCTTCATTCTCTGCCCATCTCCTTTCTCTCTTAGTGCGCCAAACACTCTCTTTTACAGCGAAGTCTGCTTTCGTTCTTCGGTCAATACAGCGTTTTATTTCACTGTAGGTTCCCTTTCCAAGAATCTCCCTTACATCAAAGTTACACAAGAACTCCATTAAATAATAGTATTCCGGCAGAGACTTGTCAAACTGTTCTTGTATGATTGACTTTTGGAAGTAGAAGATCGGAGGCTCGATAAATAACTACGTCTTAGGAAAATTAGCGATCATGTTGAAAGGAAAATGATGACAGATGAACGTTGCTCACTTTACATGCTAAGCGGGTATCTTTGAGTCAAAATCATTTTAATAATAATACAGAAGTTTAAATGTTAATCTTCTAAGTATGCTATTGTGGTTTAAGGCACAAAAGACCCATCAATTATCCTACCAATAAATTATATCCAAACAATAGGGCCACTATACTACAGTAATCTAGTTGGCAAAATAACAATCTAGAAACAAATTTAATAAGTTCCCACAATTCATATCGGTCGCTCCTGTGCCTTTTTCGACATCAAAATTATTGTCAAATGGCTGGGGGAAGGGATACATGAACAACGGTAAATAGACTAGGGAAGTGGCTAACCACAGCCTCAAGAGTACGTGAATACCTCTAAATCCGTTGTCCTCTACAGCCGCGTTTTATCCCACTCGTCCTGCCGTTGCGTGACATTGTCACATCTATTATTTGACTCTTTTAAAAAGGGTCAAAAAAATGATTTATTTGATATATGTGCAGATAAAAGATATATAGAGATAAAGATAATATTCTTCTTYGAAAATATCCATTTTTCTGTTGTTTTTAAATTGAAACTTCTGTCCGCAAAGAAAATGCACTTTCATGTTCGTGACGTAAATATGTAATGATGACGTATTCAGCCATGACGCATTCAATACTGGCCGAGGCGTACTGGGTTATGGCGGCTGGAACACATTCGATCGTCCAAAGAACAAACGTTTTATGGATTTTTGAAGGATTATTTCCAGCTACTGGAACTCTTGAGTGATTCACTGATAGCAAAGTTATAAGCGTCAAGGAAGTACGTTATAGAGTGGCATAGTTTCTGCACGATTACGCTTCACGATATGAGCACTGGTATTTGGTTGTGAACTTGCTGTGTACTGACAATAAGACTTATTATTTCTACAATTTGAAGTATTTCCTTCTAAAATGGCGTATTTTTCGAAGTATTTCCTGCGCATTTCAAAACATGGTTCKCCGTGGTTTAGGTACGATCTCTTTGATTCAACCTGCAGAGACATTTTGAAGAGAAATTTTGCTATCGAATCTAGATTTGCTTCAACCAGACGACATATAAACATCACCAACTCTTCCCTCGGTGATGGCCAATCTGTCAGGACCAGAAGCTATACACATCGATCGTTTAGAACTCCTTTATCTTGTCATTATATCAACTATAGATTACGATTCATCAGTACAGGTCGAGCGTTGCTGGCACAAGAACCGTGGATGATTTCTGACTATGAAGTAAACTCGATGATTGCTGCCGAAGAAATATCTGGCGAAATCAAAGATGGCGTGATCCAGCGCTTTGAATCAAATCAATTAGCCTCTAATAACCCTATAGAAGATAGGAAATTTATCGCCAAGCTATTACACGATGAAGGAGGGTAYCTTTTTGGAGTTTTAGACGGACATGGTGGCGACCAGTGTGCTAGGAGTGTATGCCAAAGAATTTCAAATTACATTGCGTTGAGCCTTATARCCCCTGCTGTTTTGTCTGAATTTGATTCTATACCAAAACTCGTTGAATATATTTGTATGTCAAGTAATGAGTATCACGATTACAGCTATATTGACAATCCTGTATGCCAAAGAAATTTTGGTGAATATTTTCGGAACTTGCAGCAGGATAACAACTACAACTTCCGGCCAATCCAAACAACCATTTCCAGCAAGCTGAAAATTAGAGGACTTCACGCTAGGGCTGAGGAACTTCAAGATAGGCAATTTGCACATAGAGTCAATGCTTTAACCAATGCATATCTTGCATTGGATGAGGATATATCACAAGAGGCATTGAATTTAAATGAGCAAGGGGAAGTTGATGARCATTTGTTYGATGCAGCTAATGCAGGWGCATGCRCTTTGGTTGCTCACCTTAACGGAACAGAACTCTGCATTGCTAACACTGGGGATTGCCGTGCMGTTCTTGGCRTAGAGAATTCAGATAATACTTGGTCWGCTATACAGTTAACATCAGATCATACTGCAAGTAAGATGCATACAATGTATCATGTAAATTTGTGTGATAACTGATATAAAAAGAAAGAAAAGTTACTGAATGTTTCAGTCCTTTCATGACATTTGTTTTGAAGAAACCAATAATCAAAACAAAACAAACATTCAAAACAAGATGGCTTTTATATTCTGATTGTATTGTCTCCTAGACTCCTCGCAGCCGTTTTCCGAGACGACACCGGAAAACGGCTGCGAGGAGTCTAATTGTCTCCAAGTCTATTTGACAATTTTACTTTGACCATTACATTTTGTTTCATGGCTTAATTTTTTCAGTAAAAGAAGTACAATTTCAGCCTTGCACTTCTTTACTGATATGCAATGCTGTTGAAGGAGAATTTCAAGCGACTAAATGATTTAATCTTTTTATTTCCTGTAGGTAACCCAGAAGAGGTCCAACGTATTGTAAGCCAGCATCCTTTAGAAGAATCTACCACATGCATACAGTATGAAAGACTTTTAAAAAGGCTTGCACCTTTAAGAGCATTTGGTGACGTCCGATTTAAATGGGACACAGAAACTCAGGCAAAAATCTACAAACAGTTCCCCGGCATAAATTACTTCACTGAAAAAGACAATTATTTGACCCCACCATATCTCACGGCAGAACCAGAAGTTACCACCTATCAGCTGCAGAAGTCTGATAGATTCCTAGTACTAGCCACAGATGGATTGTGGGACATGTTGAGTAATGAAGAAGTGGTCCATTTTGTCAAGGAACATTTAGATAAAAGAGAAACCCCTCCAGCTGATAAAGAAGCTTATCAGATAACATTCAATGAGCATGAGCTCCCCTGTGAGCTGACCAACTCTGCATCATGTTTGATAAGGGAAGCTCTTGGCGGTGATGACCATGTTGCCGTTAGCTCATCGCTGARTATTCCACACCCTGATACTAGGYWWTATCGTGACGACATGACTGTCATTGTCGTTTTCTTTGACTGGGATCAGTTAGACGTATCCAGTGAAGGTGAAGATGCAATTGTGTAAATAAGTATTAATAGTTTCTCTCAAAACGTTTGTCCAGTTGATAAATAAGTTATTTGACATGCGGTGTGTTTTTTCAACTGGGCAATCTTTTTAAAATAGACAATATTTTAAAGAGGTCAGGTAAAATGTGAATGTTATAATAGTAATGGCGTGTATTATAACTGAATCACTTGAAAATGTATAGTCAGAAAATAACTTTTGGTTTGTTATAGAATGAGATATAGTTTGGTCATTGTTTGTTGTAAATATGGTGAAGAGGTAATTCCCACAATAAGTATAGGTGGTAGAACCATGAGCATCTGTATTGAATGTTTTTAGCGATGTAAACAATTCCATTAAAGTTGAAGTTTCACTTGAAACCATAAGTTAATCAGTCTTCCTTAAAAGTGTCCTGTTATTAAACTAATGTTTTTAATTTTCTATTGTTTTTTCCAAACGATGTGTATTCATAAGAGCACTTCTGCTCATTCAAGACAAGACTCTCATAGTTTCAATAAAAGCAAAAAGAAACAGAGTAGAGTGTTTTCAGAATATCAGTGAAAGTTTGCCTCAAACAATTAAAAAAATTTAAGACCTCAATAGACTTCTGAACTGTTTGAGTCACTACTTGATTTGCAATGCGTTTTTGGATCAGTTTCTAGATAAAACGGAAGAAATCCGCCATGTTTTGTCCCAAATATATCCTACAATGCATTGTGTATACTAGGTATACGGTACATGACGTAAAAGCTTTAGAGGTCTATTCAATCCAACTCAGTGACAAAAAAAGCTCTATCTATCCATAAACAAAGCAGATAATGCAACCATGAAGTGGATGTTATAGCTTACAAAAATAAAATACAGGATCACTAGGGCCAGGTATTAGACATGAAGTCTATCTTGTATGTCAATGGAGTCGTGCAGAGGGTCTTGTTTTGATTTTTTGAAATAATTACAACATGATCACTATCTTATCCATACCTTTTAAAGTCATTCCTCCACAGAGAAACCCGAGTAGATCATCCAGTAGAAATGCACTCAAATGATCATYTTCAACCATTCCCATGAGATCCAAAAGATAAAAGACCGGCGGCCATRTTGTAGGAATGAACAATAGATACTAATGAGGAATCTTTTGTTSAAGTTCCTCCAAGATGGCCGCTGTGACGTARCTTGAAAACGAAGAATATTTATCATCGGTATACCTGCCAAATTCTTAGTGCACTGTTTAAGTCAATAAAATTTTCTGCCCCAAGGCCCAGACTTTGCGGCAAATTCAATCRCTTGCAAACCCCTGTTTAGAATTGTTATCAGCCTGGCTTCCTGACGCCTTGCTGAAGTACGTATTTTCATTCCTGGACATAAACGATGGATGCTCGGCGGGGGCTGAGGTCAACACACTGAAGGCACACATCCCCTGGGACCTCTCTATGAAAGGGAAGGTTAGAGCTCTCTGGGAAGGTCCAGAGAATAAACTTTGATGGGATATTTCAGGGACCGCGGAGCAGGGGGGGATACAGCTCCCCCCCCCCAATAATATTTACGACATCTTTAATTTTCTTAAATAAAGAAGCGAAGAGCCTCCTTATGAAGTCTTTGGGATTTTATTGATAATATTGCTGACAGTGTCTGCGGTAAATATRTCTTGGATAACGCCTCAAAACGCTGGAAATGGCATTTCCGAGAGTTAAGATTTTAGAAATTTCCGACCCCCCTAGTACGTCCTCGCCGCTAGCCCCCCCAAACGAGATCCCGCTCCGCGGTCCCTGTATTTGCCCTGAGGAAGGTTTGAAAACAACTATTTAAGATAAAGTTGAAAATCACAACAATGTGAAATCTTTTCCTTAGTGCCTCCAACTGATTTGATGAATGCTACAATCTCTGCCAATAAAATATACTAACATTTCCCTATCMTCCGAATCCTCCCCTTTCCCAAACTTGCAATGCTGGGAAGGGAGGTCACTCCTGAAACCATTTCAGATGGTATCAAGAACGTTCTCTTCAAATTACTGTAACTTAACTTTTACATATATCCGCGTGAAAAATATTACTTKTTGCCATATTTATAAATAGAAATAGAAATATAGCTCTTTGTTTTGATATCATTTATTAAAGGGAAACATTTGGTGCTCTTTGATAACCTTTCAGGTCTTCAGATGACCTGCGTGTTCATGTATAGATGTATACATTATTTTCAGCACAAATGTTTTAGCGCTTCTTCTTGCTATAAGAACTGTTCAAGTATTCAAGTACCCCGTAACGATACTAAGTACTCAGTTGTTAATGTCTTAAAGGGTCCTTAAACGGATAATCTAAAATGTTCAGGTAATCATTTTATGTTATAGCGTTGTACAAGTTTTTGGCAATTGAATTGTTGCTAAGTTGGCTAAGAATCTGAGAGAAATCTTTACTTGGGTGGCTTTGTTTGACCCAGTCAATCTACTATTTGYAAAACATTTGTTCGTTGAGAAATTTATATCAAAAAACTACTTTGTTTAGGTAAATAAAGAATATCAACTTATCTTTCAAAAAGACACAAAAGAATTTAAAAAATGGAGATAGAGGTATATGTATTCAGTGGCACTAACGACTCTACTATGATAGCGACTAACTTTAACAAATCGCAACATATTAAAAATCCCTGATACACTTTYGTTGCCTGTTTACAACAAAATCTAAAAATATTAAATACGATAAGAAAAAAATCAAAAGGGYTTGTTTCGCCATTGGATGARAACCACAMGGAAGACAAAAAATGTAAACAAATGTCTGCGTTCCTTTCCTACTTAAACGYATGCTTTCACCGTGTKGTAGAAAAAAAATCAATTGAAACTGAATTTTTAAGAAAGAACTATACACACATTAAACGTTTGTGACTGTTAAATGAATGTGAGAGAATGAGAATCAAGAGAAAAGGTAAAGMCGCACGAAAAGGAAAAAGGTCAAGGTAAAATGGCCCAAAATAACTATTGACCACAAATACAAAAATARCGACATTATGTCTGGTAAGTTCCGTTCCCCCAAATGCGTCTGTGATTTAGCTTCCTCATTCTGTGGCTGGAGAGGAGAGTATATATGGCGTCAGCTATGGCGTCCGAAAAATTCCTCTTTTTCTTCCAAATGTTTCTTTGAAGACTACAATATCTTCTCGGCTTCAGACTTGATGTGGAGCAGAAACCTTTGTTCATGAAATAATAGTTTTTTTATGAACCACTGGGGTTCCATGATATTTGAATTGAGATAGGTCAGTCTTGGAAGTGTTCGGAACGCACCTACTTTTGTCCATATGAAAACAGTCTTTTTTATATGATGTCCCACTAGTGAKGATAGCGACGAGACGGCGCTGTTTTGAAATTCAAAAAGGTTGGATGGCGCCTTTCAGTCCAAYAAACTGCACCCAAAGAGCAAAGATTCATTTCTCCCTGCCGGGAAAAACTAGAGCAGGGTAATTTCCAATTGGTTTTCTAAATGAAAACATGCCATTCACACAAAAAAGTATGCTTTCACACTTTTAAAAAAGTATGCTTTCACAACATTGTTGGATAGAACCGATGGCTGTTGATATCTCGTGGCCATATCGATGTATATTTCTGTGGAATTATCTGGAMTTTCTCACGGAAAGTAAGACTGAAATGTAGGTACAAGGTAACCTCTTTTAAAAACATTTGAAAGACAACCTTGGCCTTTTTCCTGATCAAATTTGATATTCAAAAAGGTTTTCATAACGGATAGTGTTTTCTATAAACAACGGCGCAAAGGTCAGTTTGAGGATTTCATGCTATACCTTCAAGTGGCAAAACACGACATAACCAAGTTTGAAGAGAATYTGCGCTAGTAATATTTTCAAAACTTGTTTTTCCCGGTTTGTACTTGAAATCTTTATTAAGATCAATTCTAACAAAGATAAAAATTGACACAGGAAAAAACACTTCCAAGGGAACACTTGATAGATCGAAAAGGCTTGGCTTTTGATTTTTATTACCTTTATAAGTGGCGGATAAATAGGTTCCTAGATCTTTCCCACGTTCATCACATACTTCCATCAAGCTTGCTTCATTTGCTGTACAAATGGCTCTTGTATGCTCGCTTGAAGTAGTAATTGTTAGCTTTGTAGTGGTTTCCTGTCTGTGTGGTGGTTCGCCTACACCAAAATACGAAGACGAAAGTTCATTAATTCGAATGGTAAGTTAAAAAACTATCATACTTCGGGTCCACATCCTGCGTTCCCATTATCAAGGATCAGGGTTGCACCTCTCGGATAAGAATCTTAACATCTCTGTTTCCATCTTCAGAAACGTTGGCAACAGTGCGAGATATCGGGCGACTGTGGCCRAGACGAATGCTGTGTCACCCTTCGCAGCTCTTCTAAAGTTAGAGCTTGTAAGAAAAAACCTCAGCTTGGCAAAAACTGCCGACCGAACATATTGGTACGTTTCTGATGCAAAAAAATGTTTATATTCCCTAAAAACTTGGAACAAACTTTAGCGGATCGAATTCAACATAGAAGCTTAACCAGAAAGGGTACATGGAAAAGTGATTCTTTTATTTATTGAAAATTTAGAGGAAAATTATCCGTTGAGTGAAACTTGACCACTGAACTTCCCATGTTCCATTTCGATCTCTGCTTCTGTATTCTGTTACTACGACTACCAGAATCCTCTGTGTATTTTCACGGTTATATTCTTGGATTTTTTTTTTCACTATTTGAGATTGGTAAAACAATTGAGACTAAGTATATTAGAATAGAAAGTGGGCAAAGCATTCTGGTAATTTTGAACCAAGCACAGCGCTTGTTCTTCCCTGAAAGTATACGTTTGATCAGAATGCAAAATAATTACTAAGGCCCAACATCCAATCATAGCGCATCCATTATAAATATTCTAAAGATTATACTTCAATTCTATAAAGCAGTAATTCTGATGAATGATTTTGGCTTATAATTAATTATTTGGTGTTTAGTACGTCATAACCTACTTTAACTTATCAACTTTTAAGACAATGTTAAAACAATATTAAAACAATGTTAAACAATGCTGGTTCATGCTATAATTAAATTGACTATTTAATCACTGTTGAATATTATTCGCTGACCTCGACGCATATATGCCGTCATATAACCATTATATAATAATTGTTTTGACTAAACAGAATGATTAAGGAGATTAGTTTTGTTTCACCTTATTACTTGCAAAAAGCCTTAGTGTTCTCCTTTGTTTRGGCTGCCCCCGTTGAAACCTAACTCAGTATAAACGCAGTCGACCGGTTGTGAAAGATAACAATATCGAAGCTAAGACAAAAAGGATAAACGTATTAGACATATTATACGAAATATAAYCAGACTAGTACCCAGTCGTTACTCTTACTTTTTTCCCTTGCGCGCGCAAAGGATCAAGGGAAGTCGGAAGCGACTTTCCTTCGCCCTTCCCTTCATGCATTGCGCGCCGCTTGAGAGAAGCGATTGGGTACGATTCTGAAATATAACCGTGTTAATTTCACAGGTGAGCCTACGTGAGGGGAGGGGGGATTGGGGTGTGTGTGTTTTTTTTTTGGGGGGGGAGGGGTAGGCGTTGTGAAAAACTCCATTAACGGGTTAAGTATAATGTCTCTGCTTACGCCGTCGTGTACTTAAACCGCTTGTTGTCTTTCAGCCCGGATTAAGCCATTCCTGTCCTTGCAGTCTAGGCCTGACATGCGCATTGACGTCTATGGACAACTTTGGAAGACATGATGTGTTTCGATGCGTACTTGTACCCGAACAAGAGAAGGAAGTTGAAGCTCGAAGAGAATAATTTTTTTTTACTGCACTCAATGGGAAATTGCTTTCTACAATTAATAAATGTGATCTTTAATGTGCTATTTTAAAATACCGTTGTAATTATTTTTATGTTCTACAATGTTATAGTAAATATGTAGAAAAATTCTTCTATCTTCCGCGTGTCTTGTCTCCTTCTAATCCAGAATRCGTAGCGYTCGAACTTCMAAGTCCTTTGATTCCGGATTCCATGATATCTGCAAGGATTTTGGGTTCCACCATAKTAGTTTCAGAATGCAAAGCATCGTAGCTTTCTTCCTTTCCTTTTTTTTTTCTTTCTTTTCACCCCCCGTCATTAATGTTTTACAATTAAGAAACATTTGAAGTAAGTAATTTGAATTGCGGATTATTTTTGTTTCATCGGATTTCATCGTCATCATCTTGAAAGGGAAGTTGGATTCAGGACTACAGAGACAAATAGTTGTCGGACTCGGCGCCATGGGTTGAATTAACACAACACTGGTGAGCTTTTGCTTGCAGTTCTGGGCTTTTCAATGTTTAGTTTATATTATCCTTGGTATACCCAAGGAATACGATTCAACAGCCCGTGTCTGAACAGCTGTTTCTCTAAGAAGGCAGCTAAAGAACGAGGGAGAGGAACTCACTCAGTACAGTCCTACCTTTTAATTAATTCTTTACGCCAAGGAAGTCGACTCCCAGACACAAGAAGTTCGTTTTGTGAGACAATTAAATGAAAGACATTTTTTTAGGTGTTTATTTTCTCTTCATGTGGTGCACTATCACTGCGCATGTAATCTAGAAACGATTGGATAATGTATCTTAATTTGCTTTCCTCAGCTAAGAGAAACTTGTCAAATTGGTATTCTATAATTCAGTTGTAGATAAGCTTAAGTTCAACTTAACTTGTYCCTGCAGTGTTTAATACTGAAATTATTTAGTTTGAGAAAAATCCCATTAGAACTAGAATGTTTATATTCGTATATAGGTACSAACGTCCAACTTAAAAACTGTCTAAACTGATATTGCTTTTTAAGGTCCCTGCCTAATGCGCYTTGTGCCGACAAGGCTTATGGGAGTTATTTTCCCCCCGCAAGGAACTATGGGGACTTGAATATATTGGCTGCTTTGATAAGSATGAATTTGTGTCKGTGCTCCTTGAAAYAAAAACATTCATTGTGAATGGTAAATATTGGAACCTCTGTTTAGGGACAACTTCATAATACGACCACATAAGCATTAATCCGAGTCCCTATTAAAGAGGTTCAATATATCTATAGAAAGTTCTGTATGATAAACGGTGGATCTCTTACAGTACGACCACATCTATAGTACGACCACCTTTATAACACGACCACCGTTATAATACAAAGGTTAGTGTATCTAATGCAGAGTTCCCACCGTATGTACATAGTTTTTGGGGTGCGCATCGTGATATGTAGTCTTATTCAGTGTTCAAGTCAGTCGATCTCGATAWAGCATCGTCCTCACCAGACTTCGTTGCATTACTAAATTGAGTGCCTGCATCGCTTTCTGCATCGCTTTCACTGTCGCTGTAACGATCTCCTCTGGAATGAACATTTTGCGCAACCTTAATAAAAGCCTCGTCAGATTCCACATCCTCGACTTCCATCTCACTAAGTCGTTTGATGAGGTCACTTAGATCATCTTCCATTAGCTTCAGGTCTCTTTTCGCCTTRATGGCCGTGAGGTTTGTGGTGCAACTGAATTCCGAGTCGCTCGATATTGAAGACTTCCTTCGTTTGTACTCCCAGAAAGGTACCGCGGACCCAGGACCATAAGGCGTCTTCACCTGGCTTGGATYTCCTCTCTTCATAAACGCCATTTGATTTTTTAATCTTTCCATGATGAACTCCACCATTTCATATTCGTTGGACAATTTATCCTCCAGTTCTTTGACTTCAGAGAAACTGTCGTTGATGATTGCAAGGAACATATTCATCAGGAAAAATACGATGAGGTACATGTAGGTGAAGAAGTATAAGGGCCCAAGAATCGGTTCGATATCCGTCAACTCGAAGTAATCAAAGTCTCCCAAAAGGATCCTCATTTGCGTTACGGCCGCGGATAMGTTGTCCTTGTAGTAGTCGCTTGCAGCGCCGAAGATGAGTACACCGAAGCAATTATACGACGCAAAGACAACCGAAAAGCTGATCATAAAGAGGCCGATCGGCTTGGCAATGACGCTTATCGTTGTACCAATGAACGCCATTTTTTTATTAAAACGTAACAGTTTGAGGAAACGCAACGTGACTAAAAACACTAGGAAACCAATCACGTACGTAAGGGTCTGGTCCGCGGCGGTTGCGTATTGAAAGCTTACGAAATCTTTAGGGTTGTGATGCAGCTTGATGAAATTTTTGTCCGTTTCCCACATGCGCGCGAAAAACAAGATGGTCATGACGAATTCAAGAACAATAAGAATCACTTCAATCCAGTTCCAGAACCCGTGAAAGTAGGCCWTCCCCTGTTTGTACATAAGTTTGAATTCACGATACATAAAGTAAAACATAAAAACCAGCATGATGACCTCCATGGCAAGGATCAATTTTGCAAATGGCCCAACGTAGCTGTAAAGCCGTGAAACCACAAAATTGGCTGTTGAGAAGGCACCACCGTCTGGCAAAAACTCCATGAATAAGAAGGCGGCCGCAAAAAGATTTGTATTCGCGTTGTAAATCGTGAACTCGTTAAAAACGGCACGCGACTGCACGTCAAGCCAGTTATGGGAATTCGTATCCGCGATGACTGTCATTGCCGTGCTATAGTCGTAACCCAAATCRGCCGGATACCCACCCCCACCGTAGAAATTAAGCATTCCCCAGTACGGAAAGCCCCGAAGTTCAAACATGGTGTGGTACTGCCATCGCGTCGGACAAGACATGATGGAGCCATCGGGCAAAATGGCCGTCTCCAAGATAGTATACGTCTTGCTTGCGCCACGATCTCTTTTACGTGCTTGACGGCCAGAGTCCGATTTGTAAACAGGATCGATAGCTCTACGTTTACGTTTTAGAATTTTAYGTGTCGCATCGTATTCCACAAGTTTATCGTTCTTTCCAACGAACCACAGCTGCTCTTGGACGCTCCTTCKTTTGCGTTTTGCAGCGGTCTTGGATTTGTTCAAGTACTTCCAGTTTGTATCAAAATCTCTGTCTTCGATATTCGACATGGAAAATTGYCCGTAACAGGTAGGGAAGATGTGGCGCATTATTGGTACAACAGTGCACGTATCTGTCAAATGAACAATAATCTTAATAAATATTTTAAAGTCCCCTGCAAATTATTTACAACTTTTTTTTAAGACAACTTCTTGCGGCGACATAAACATAAGACTATAAAGCCGCGGTCCTTTTMWAAGACCAAAGGTAGTATTTTTTTACTATACCGATCGACATAAGGGGCATACGGGGAGTGTTGTSTGCTTAAACATTCAATGTAGTGGTCGTGAGTACGGGGTAGAGAGACACGGCGACCACTCCCTGGACGTAAAACAACTATTTTCATTTACATATATTATGTGGCTTTAAAAATTCACATTGGATGCCATGGACAGGGCAAATCATAAAAAAGCTCGGTCCGGTTGTACGAAGGGTGTATACACCTTTTCAGCTGCACTTAGGCCTCGACAGCAAGTTAATTATTCTTTTGAATTTGACAAATGAGACTATTCATATCAATGTTTGCATTGCTCACATTCCTACAAATTCAAAARAATATTTAACACGCTGTCGAGGCCTAAGAGCAACTGCAAAGGTGTATTGCGCTATCCACCGGATAGATCCTAATTCAGCGGTTTRAATCCCATACAAAATCTAAGAATCGGTTATTAAAACTGATGGATAACTTTATTCACCCTAATTGCAACCGGATCCTTATTTGTTATACACTGCACCACATCACTGCGCGAATCCCTTAATGAATATAATAGTTGAGTTTACTGTTCGAAAACTCCCACAGTCTTGTTTTTTTTTTACTCACAGAGAATGCTAATTTTGCTCGAATTACCTGGTTTGACACGCTCCTGCCGAAGTCGCGAAATTCCTACTAAATAATTATGTCTGTCGTCAAGGAAACCTTTATATTTGTCCTTTTGTCCGTTGTACCAAGGGCCTGGGTACAATGTTGGGAGAAGAGTCTCTCGAGTCCAGAACCAAAACGAGTCAACATCGCCAACCTATGGAGCAGAAACGAATATATTATGAACAAGCGGTACCACAGAGCAAAGTAAAATTTTGAGGCATGCAGCAACAGGGCAGGGAAAGGCACAGTTAAAAAATGGAACAAAATGAAATTAGAATAAAGAAATGAAAGAAAGTGGAGGAAATGTGATGACTTACACCATTGAAAGGCACTTTATCTCCAACACCTGGGTTCACAAACGAGTCATACAAAGATTTMCGCAACAAGTAAGCATTGGGATCCCTGTTTCCGTAAGCAACAAGCAGTAGAACGGCCATAAACATAAAAAACGCGATAATTTCCCTCAAGATAATCTGCATTCGGATTTCCTTCAAACGTTTCTGTCGAGCGGCCATTAACATCAGTTCATCTGGAGGGCTAAAGGTATGAAACAATGAGTTGATCTGTTTTTTTTTAATAGTGTAAAATATATAGATTTGTCCAGTTTATCGTCATCGATTATATCCTCCAATCCAACAAGCAAGCAATCGACAAACCAACTAAGAAGCCAATCAATCAAGCAATCCATCAACCAAAACACCAGCCAACCAGCCAGTCAACCAAAACACCAATTAACCAATCAGCCATCAAACCAGCCAACCAACCCACCGACTAACCAACCAACCGGTCAACCGACCAACCCATCAGCCGCCCGACCAACCAACCAAGCGACCAACCAAGCAACCAACCGACCAAAATACTAATTAACCAACCAGCCATCAAACCAACGAACCAACCGACCGACCGACCGACCAACCAACCAACCATCCAACCATCCATCCAAAAAAMMAMCMAMCMAMCMAMCMAMCMWMCMAMCMAMCMAMCMAMCMWMCMWMCMAAMMAACMAMCMAYCMAMCMAMCMACCAACCAACCAACTGACCAACCATGAAACCAAAATACTAATTAACCAACCAGCCATCAAACCAACCAACCAACCAACCCATCAACCAAAAAACTAATCAACCATCAAACCAAGCAGCCAACCAACCTTTAAGTAAAACGACATCATCCTTACCCGACACGTGTTCCATCACTAAACATATAATCGTCCGACATCATTGGTTTCTCGGGAATATTCTTCGTGCAGGACTGGGCCACCTCATCTTTGTTGCTCTCTTCTTCATTTTCAATAGGCTTTTTAATAATCAGTGCAAACACAATGGCTGCAAATATGACTTTGACTGGCTGGATCAAAAGAACCGATTGGAAGAAAGACAATACAAACGCAATCATCCACTTATTGGCGGTTTCAGGACCCCAACTAAGACTGTAAAACACGGTAAAACTGGCCGACGCTATTGTTGATAATGCGCAAATCGCCCAAGCGACGTACCGCCATTTTGGATGCAACCCTTTCTTCTCTTTTTTCTTCTTCTTCTTCTTCTCCAAGTCTTTCATATCGTCATCTTCGCAAACATCGTCGAAACCTTCTGTGATGTCTTCGGCTTTTTCTGTGTTGGGTTCATCAGGACGGATGTTTCTAAAGATCTGCATGAAAGCCAAGTTGACGGGGAAGACGATCAGACTAGACTGCAACCCAATGATCATTTGTTTGAGATCAATCTTCAGTGATCCCAAATAAAGGATGTAAGTGGGATCCTCTTTTTGTCCACCTGTGTTGTAAAACATACAACTAGTGATCATGGTGCAGTACAAGAGAGAGAGCGCGACGGAAAGACGTTGGACACGCGTGAACACACTCTGCGGTGGACGAGCAATGATGGAGAACCACAAGTGTCCGTCTCCTAGTTCGCGGACCGTCTTGCTGACAAACAGGTGGTTGAACTGTGTTAATTCTTTGTCACTTGCAACAGGGATAATCCTGTCAACACGTCCGTCGTCCTCTTCAACGGCCAGCCATCTTTCACAAACAAAGTACACCTTGTTGTGGTTATGAAGATCCTCGAGGGCGATTCGACTCAGGTACCAGGAAGGACTGAGACCTAGTAAACAACACTTGATTAATAAATGGTATTCCCCATGGGGGGTGTCATGGGCAGGCAAAAGGRCACTTGATCAATGAAGTCTTTTCACCATGGGGGTTGGGGGTGGGGGGATGTTTGGTTTACACCTAGTTAAGAACATTTGATCAATTAAGGGTATTCCCCATGTAGAGTGTCATGGACAGGCATAGGGAGACTTGATTAATGAAGTCTATTCACCATGGTAGAAGAGGTAGAAGAGATTAACATTTTATAAGCATATATCTTATGCACCCCAAGGGTAGAAGATTTAATAAAAAGTATCTGTCTGTCTRAAAGTTCTCAGATCGTTCGTTACGTACCTGTATTGTCGTGCCACACTCTTAAATGAGTGATTTTTCCAACATCTTTAGGAATCGTCATGACTAATGCGTTGTCGGCACCTCTTGTAAACAGCGGTCTCTCTGGATCGGTTAAAAGAACCGGTGGTGCCTCGCCTTCTTCTCCCGAGAGCACCACATACACATTGGCTGTCGTACCAGCATTCATTCTAACGCCAGTGTGGATTGAAATGAGAAACGAGTGGGAGCCTGGGGCAGCGTTGGCTGGCAATGGGGTTACGCCAGTCTGGGGAAAACATAGGAAAAATTCAMAGGAAAGTAAKTTGGTGTAGTGAATGTGAAATTATGGAAACCTAYCGCGGGTCATTATTAGATAATCTAGTTAATTTTGATCAGCGAACGAACAACAATTAAAGGACGAAGACGAAGTAGAAAAAAATGAAGTCGAAGAGAAGAAGACAAAAGAGAAGAATCTGGGAGAGGAGAAGAGGATGGAATGGAAGAACTTTATTCTTAAAGCGCATTCCTTGTAAAARCAAACTGAGAAGAATKAAAAATATCCTACAATTTTGATCGTACCTTTTTCTCGTCTCTCTTATCAGCTCGCCTTGCGAAGACGACCAGAATCARGTAGAGACCAAATAATCCACAGACGACCGACAAAACTACCGGATTCTTGCTGAGATCA